GGTTTAAAGTCTCAGCAACATTAGCTTTAAATGTGTTTCTGTACTGATGCCATGCTATGTGTCTGCTCAGGCAGCCATTATTCTGCTCTATGATGTCATGATCGTCAACAACTGGCAGGCCTTCATGGAAGCATACAGCAGATACACATCTGAGTAAGGAAGCTTTCTCCACACACCACAGTTCTTAATTTTCGGAAGGGATCTGTGATGATGATGATGATGATGATGATGATGATGATGATGATGGTTTCTTTCCCCTCCAGGTGGTCCAAGGTGTACTTTGTGTGCTGGTGGCTCACCTCCTCTGTGATGTGGGTCAACCTGTTTGTGGCTCTCATTCTGGAGGTCAGTTTGCTGATGGAACACTAACACCCCACACGAGCCTAAAGTTTGAAAGTAGAGCTGAACAGCTTGCAATTTTCTGGATGATCGCCGATTACCGATCTTTAAAAAGCCGATTTTGTCCAGTACTGAAATATTGCTAAATATAGCAAGAAAATCACTGAGTTGGCAACTTGATCAGTTGTTGATTGTCAACAACTTCGGTGGCTGTTGTTAACTGCACACATGTAGACATAACCTGGTGAGCTGGTCTGTCAGTCAAACATCTCTCACAGCAGAGCAAAAGAGGACAGTGGCTGATTTTTAGCCTTTGCCAAGGTAGATAAGATCAGTGGATTTGATTGGCTGACACTTAATTGTGAAGCCAATAACTAATCTCCCAAAATTAAGAAAATCAGGGCAGATTTATTAGTGCGCCCCTAGTCTGAAGGCTTTCCAGCATCTGAGTAACTAATGCTGAGGATGTTGGAAATAATTTGCACATCAGCTTTCATGTGCTGATATGTTTTGCTTGGTTTAAGTAGAACATGCCGTGGTATATTATGGCCAGACCTCTGCTATGAGGTCTAATGTATCCAGCAGACATTGTCCCATTGTTTCATTGTGATGCAACTTTACAGCTGTTGCCGTGTGGCTGGGTTCTCTTTAGCCAGAGGATGCTTTTTCCTTCAGCCCCTCTAAATCAACTTATGAAGTCTGAGATGCATCTTTTTGTTTTGATGTATTTATTTTATTTTTTGCAGACTTTGATCCTGCATTGAATTTACTTGAATGTTTACACTCTGGAATACTGTCAATCTGTTGTCTATCTTAAAGGTTTTCCACCTGGGAGTTCCCTTCTGGAAGTGTAGAAATTTTGTCACAAAATTTCCCAGAATAATGTGTAACAACAGTTTCTACTATAAGATCATTTATTATGTCTTTCCTGACAATTATTGCTTTGAAAAGCACTTCTAGAGTCCATAGAAATTTCTCCTCTGGCAACATCTCCGCACTGTTGCCAGGTCTGTTTTATTCCTAAACAAACAGTGAAGAAGTTCTTTAAAATAGATTTTTACTCATGATTTCAAAATTTTGGTATTGTAACTGCAATAGAATTGTTAACAATATAAAGACAGCTGCATTTCCATTAATCATTTATTTATGAAAATTGAAATTATAAAAATAAATTTGTTTAGTGCAAACATGGTACTTTAGAAAAAAAAACTCAAGTTTTTTTTATAAAAAGTTTTTGTGCTGGGATGAAGTATCAGCCCTTTCGAAGTAGATGCATTTTGCAGAACTCTTTTGCATCAACACGAATCATGTGATCAATAAAAAGTGGTGTGTCATTCCAATGTGTTAAATTCTTAGCTTTCCTGTAGAATCACTGACTACAATTTTCCCAAAACACGGTATATGTAGCTGCTCCCAAGTAAGGGGCTTGTTGCTACAATTAAGAAGCCAATGGACATTAAGATATTAAGAAGCCAACATCTGCATTGATGGCTGATAGATGATGAACGCTAGCCTCAGATGAATTATGATTATACTGCATCTCATGTGTTGCTGCCATGATTTTTAATTATCTATTGTATGAATATGCTTATTCATAGCTGATTGTAATTTAATTTCTCATTTAATGGAAAACACCGCAATTGCGAAGTTGTGTTTTTTCAACATTTGCAAAATATAGAAACATTTGTTCAAGTTTGTAATGGAAACACAGCTACTGTTATATACCTTGTCATAATAAATCAATCTAAAACAATCAGATACTAGGAGATACTAGGATGTTTGATCCTAGTGTAATCAAACATGTCCAGTTTATTATTCAAAAAGGTTAAAAAGTTGTATGTCTTACAAAACCCAGCAGCCTGCATCATGTCATTTTCAGCATTAACTCCTCCTGGATAAGTCTGCGTCAATCCCTCACACTGGGCATGCATGTACCAATAGTGGAGAGGAAAACTCCGCTTTAACAGGAAGAAACCTCCAGCCAAACTAGAACCTGACCCACTCTGGCCATCTGCCATGACCAACTGGGGTTTTGAGAAGACAAAGCATGCACCCAAAGAAGAGACAGAAGAACTGATCAAGAAGTACTTAGAAGATTTGGTTAAACTATAGTAGTGAGTAAAGAGAATCAGCTTTAGGCATAGAAATGGCTTCTCAGTTTAGTGTTATCAATATACCAATAACTGCAGATAAAGATGAATCTATAGGACCAAATCTACATTTTCATAAATAAATTGCTCTGAAAGGGGAAAAGAGAATTGAGATTGTTTTTTGCAACAGATTTGATCTTAAATCTGATGTGTGAGAATATTCATTTAATGGTTCTATTTTGTCTGACAGAACTTCATCTACAAGTGGGACCGTAGTCACAGCTGCTCTGTTACAGATGTGGAGAAAATCCGATATGAAACTTCAGTCCAGTTCATGTTCAAGTAGGTCAACACCTGTATATCTGGTATATCAGGTATATATGTCAAATATACCTGAGATATGCTCATCCCTCTTGCTTGTTTTCTCAGAGAACAGATCCAAGAACCAACTGAAGAGGAATTAGTTTGCCAGTTACACCAGCACCCTCACCTCCACCTGGAATGGAGACACGAACATCAAAACATTACGTCCTCTCTGCACTGAGGCCCTGAAGCTGCTGGTGGAGTAGGAAAGTTATTCAAGTGAATCAACAGTAGACTTTCCCTTCAGAAGAACTAAGCACAAGGATTCAACTGGAGGTTTACTTTGAAACTCAAAACATTAAGTGGGTTAATTCAAGTGTTGCCATAAAGAACTTTCGAATGTGTAGGTTTTCCTCTCTACAAAGATTTGCTGTACCAAATCTGTCATTTACAGAAAAGTAAGCCATATTTTCTCTTTTTTTATTAAACTGGAGCCGTTTGACAACAATACTGAACCAGGAGAGAGAGCAGGGGAGGATATGGGGATGTGATAGAGGTTCAGAGCTGCCATGGCCTCTTGGATCATTAAGAGTGAGAAGCAAAGCAGCAGTAATTCCTCCGCCAGGCGAGAAAACACCTATTTACATAGAGCTCTGACTATGTCCAAACAGCACTAAATACAATATCAGTTTTATAGTTCATTCACCAACATTTTTGGTGCTGATTACACCCACTGTGGTCATCATGACATAAATTACTCTGCAAAGTGCAAAATATTTAACTTCTGCACAGCACAACATGCCTGAACTAAAGTAGCTGCGCAAGCTATTTTTAACCCGACCTGTGACCTTTCTGTTGGGTCAGATTCTAATACCATTGTCAGTGTTCAGGCCATCTACTATCAGATAAGCCCGGATGCTTGTTATCCCCACATCTGAACCCAGTCTGGTACACCCTGCAGGGTCACGGCTTGGCTAAATCAAAAGCTCCCTCTAATGTGTTGCAGACACAAACATGTTAGAATTGATCCAACGTTTACAAAAACATGTCACCCAAATTTTGCTTTATGGGCATAAAAGCCACTGTGGCATCAGTACTTAATAAACAAATCTGATCAGAGATTCTTTTTAGCAGCGGTTGAGTCTTTAGGTTAGACTACAGTCCCCAGACTTTGTAGTTCTGCATTTAGGAAAAAAAGTACTCTGACTCCTAAAATGATTTTATTTTACCTTGGATGTATTTTAGGTATCGCTGTATATATATGAAAATTAATTAAATCAGATTGTTTAGTTTAGTTTGTAAGTACTGCTAAAAACTTAGTCTGATTTATTGAAGTTAAAATTATTATTATTATTATTAAAATTATTGCTATTATTTATTATTTGTTAAAATAATGAGAATAGATTAAATTAACCCGCTTGTGTAAGAAGCTGCTGGATTGTTGATGTGATTGGTCTGATTGCACGTTTATAGGAGGTTGGATGCAGTTAGCATACTCTACATGTGGAATAAAGGAAGTTTCCAGGATTTGGAGAATTATATCAACAGTATGAGAAAAACAATCCAGGAAATACCTTGATTTACAGAATAAATATTTTGGCTTGTGGCTGGACAATAAAGCTGGACTGGACAAACAACACAAAGCAGCT